CCAGCCCCCTGCTGATGGAGCCATGTAAAGGGCTTTAATCAATGAGATTTAATGGCAGGTTGCCCGGTGTAGCTTCCAAAAAGGCTCTTAGAAAGTTAGGCAGATTCACCTGGCACCTGCCTTGTGCTGTTTGCCTCTCTCCTCTTCTTACCTGGGATATGGATACAATGCTGGAGGCAGGGCAGCTGTTTTGTGACTGAAAGATAGAGGTAGGAGCACCAAGCAGAGAGGAAGGAGAATGCATTCCTAAAGCCACCAGGGAGCCACTGAGCCCACCCTAGACCGCCTGTCTGCAGACTGCTTCCTACGTGAGCAAAGATACCTCTAATTTCTTCAAGCCATTGCTTTCTGGGATTGTCTCATAGTCAAACACTATTTCCCAAAAGATACATGTTCAAGCAGATAGTTCAGACACAGAAACACATACTGTTTCAAAACCAAAATAATGTTGATTAGAACTACCCCGAGCACTCTTTCGCACCTTTTTGGCAATGATGACACCAGCTGCCAGAGCAGTGTGTAAGCCGGGCTGGAGGGGAACAGACACTCCCTGCCTGCCGAGGACACGGTCGGCTGGCTGTGTCTAGAGAGCTCACCATGGCTCACTCTCTCTCATGGAGAAGCTGCCTCTTCTGGGACATGATCCCAGCTGCAGAGGCCCAGGCACACCCATCAGCCCTGTGGTGCTTCTCACCCTGAAATACCAGAAAGGACCTCCAAGCCCATCAGCCAGAGATGGCTGTGTGATGGTCACAGCCAGCAGGAGGATGTTCTTGCATCCACAGACATGGAACAAGCTCCCGGGGAAGCTTCAGGGCTAACGGCCAAGTGCAGGACTGTGCGACCAGGGGCTACCAATGGCTAAAACTGTCCGAAAATTTTATACAAAAGTGATATTGTTTTTATATGTAAAAGATACCATGTAGATGTAATTTCTGACACATGTAGTGTCTCTGCGAGAGAGGCCTTCACGGTCTCTGGAAGGAACTACAGGATACTGGTCTCTGCTTGTCTCCCAGGAGGGCCGGTGGGGGAGGGAGAATCCTCCCTCCCCAATGGACACAATTTTAGACCTTTTGGATTTTGGATATTTGATGTCAATAAACGAGGCACTGAAACTCAAACAAAAATGATTTCCTGAGCCCGGGCCTCCTGTGAAGCTACCGACCAGAAGAATGAGAACGATGTTCTGGGACAACGTTCTGGGATGTGGCCTCTGGCACCTGCTGCCTCCCAGGCAAGGCCATGGCTGGTGATTTCAGGCCCCTGGCCCCTGGCCCCTGCCTTCCCCCCTACCTTCCTGCACGAGCCCCCCTCCCCTTCCCCTTGCTACCCTCCCCAGCACCTCTCTCCCTGGCTGGGGGTGCTGGGCTGGGTGCTCAGCTGGGCCTCTCCCTGCCCCGCCTCACCCCTGCACTGTTGGGACTGAACAGCTGTCCAGTGCCTCTATTGCCAGCCCTGTGCTGACCTTTCCCTTCTCCTGCTCAGGACTCACCTGCCTGCCTGTCCTTGCCCACCAGCTGCCACAATGGCCCCAGGTCCAAGCTTCTATGCACTCAGGCCCCACTGGGCCACCGCGCCCACATAGCGCCTGCCACAGGTCAGGATTCCGCTGCGCCTGGCTCATGCAGACCCCTCTGTCCGGCAGATCCCCATTCTCCGTAACCTCCCAGCCCTCAGGTGCTCACTCTCAAAGGCAGACCCTTGCTGGAGGCTGCTGAGACCTCATGGGCTCTGCGGAGGCCCCATGCTGTCTGCTCTACCCAGCACGCCCCCACCTGTCCAGCCTGGTGGCCCAGCTGTCATGCCGGCTGGCCATGTGGGGTTCTGGGAGTGCACAGGAGGGGACAGAATAGCCCAAGGCAGGACCTAGAGAGTACTGCCCCCCAGCATCCGTCCCCCTACAGGAAACTCTCAAGTCCACCCACCATCATGGTGCTCTAATGATGCCTGTTCCCAAGTGACATTAACTGTGGGGGGGGTCAGAGCTGGGAGCATGGGGTGGGGCAGAGGGTGGAGGGAGGAGCTCTTCCTCATTCCCATCCCACCCTGAGGGCCTTTCCAGGGAGCACAGGAGAACCAGGCTTTCTGGCCAGAGCAGGATGCCTGCTGGCAGCATGCCTGGTTGCTGGCACCATCACCCTCGTCCCCACCTGTCCCTGCCTCCCTTCTCCAGCTCCAGTCGGTTCCTCCATATTGCTCTCAGGCCACTCTGGAGACTGGCATCTGGAGAGGCTCAGCCCCATGTCTCAGCACCACATGTCTGAAGTGGTGACGGATCCCTGTGTGATCTATAGATCGATCTGCAGAGAGGAAGTCAGCGCACCCTTCCCCCAGCCCACAAGTCCCTGGACCTTTCCCAGCCCTTCTAGCCAGGCTCCATCTGACCACCTCAGGTGCGCTCCTCTCCACCTGTCCCCAGAGCCCAGCATTCTGGCAGCCACCCAGAGTGTGCCAACCTGGCGCCTCTGTCCTTGGCATCCCTCAGCAGGCTCCCTGTCTGTGCAAATGTCCTGGGGCTGCTTAACAAATTGCCACCCACTTTGCAGCTGAAAACAATAGGAATGACAGAATTCCAAAAGTGAGATGTTGGGAGATCGGTCCCTTCTTGGGGACCAGAGGGAGAGTCCATGCCGTGTTTCTTCCTTGCTTTGGGTGGTTTCAATCGTCCCAGTATCCATAGCTCATAGATGTATCACTAAACTCTGCCTCTGAGGTTTCATGGACTTCTTCCTTGTGTCTCTGTGTCTGTGCCCAGATTTCCCTCTTCTTACAAGGATGCTAGTCACTGGATTTGGGGCTCACCCTGAATCAAGGATGATCTTATCTCGAGATTCTTAATGATATCTGTAAAGACAGTGTTTCTCGGTGAGGTCACATTCACAGGTAACCAGTGGTTAGGACTGCAATTTATCTTTTTTGAACCAAGAAACCTGCCATTCCCTGGACTGCTGGCCCGTTTACATGCCAGGTCATTCTCTGTCAGGTGGCAGTCTTGAGCTTTGGTCCAACAAAAGCAGCAGATTGCACCAATTTTCTGACAGCTGGAGACAAGAGTGTGTTGTCCCAGCTGCCTGGACTCGAGGTGGACATTTGAAAGGATCTGGAGGTCCAGCTGCCTCTCTGCCTGGTGTGAGCATCTGTGCCCATCGCAGAGATCCCAGGCGGCTCTCTGGGGCGCGGACGCCGTGCTGATCTCCCTCCCCACAGAAACGCACACGGAGCGGGGTGGGCGGAATCACGTGGGGCTTACCCATAATAATCTGTTGGTTGTGGGGAAAAACACCCCACACGATTTGTTGTAACAAACGCAACTTTCTGTAACAGTTGTTATTTAGAAATAAGGATAGTAACTCCATTGATTGTGCTGAGCAGTGGGGGAAAGTTTTGGAGGGGCGCAGGCAGGGGAGCTTCGGACACAGCAGGGACACCAAGGAGCCTTCTCAGAAGTGGAAGTTGAGACCCTCAAGGGAGGTCTTCCTTTTAGGACAAGAAGACTAACAGCAGTCATGGCTGCTGGGAAAGACCCGTGGCAGGCAGAAGCTCAGCCGTGCCCTGGAATAGCCCAAGGGGCCAGGCTGCAAGCAGGCGTTGGGGAGGCCAGTTCCTCCTGGGGCCGGAGCATTGTGGCCTGGCCACCTCCCCACCACACCTAGGCTCTGAGGGCAAGAGCTCGAAAGAGGGGTGCAGGGGCCTTGGGGGGAGGAGTGTTCCCTAAGCCCTGCCCAGTCTTCTCCTGAGTGACTCTGGGAGCAGGCCCTGGGTCAGCCGAGTCCCAAGCTTTCTCCTGTGGGAGAGGCTCTGGTTGCTGGAACCCCTCCAGCCTTTTTGTGTGCATACCGCCCAGGGCTCCGGACCCTTCAGCTGTCAGTGCCCACCCACCCCATCCTGCCTCTACGTTTTCAGGCTGCCATACCACAGGCAGCCCATGAAGGAGGAGAATCTCTACCACACCCCAAGTGAAAGGGAGTCCGTCTGTGGCCTGGGGCCCGGCAAAGGCTGCAGCTGAGCAGGTTGGGGGGGGTGCAGGCGGGGCCTGGTCACAGCTGTCCCCCAGGGGGTGGGCACTGAATAGCTCCCAAGGGCCCTGGTAAAGCAATCGGAGGCAAACTCGCAGAAGAAGTTTGTGGCGTTCACACCACAGCCCAGCCCACCTTCAAGCCACTGTAGGTGCAGTTGTTCTCGGTGAGCTATCCCACAGATTTTCCAATGGGACCCATGTTCCCAAAGTCCTGAAGGTAGGTCCCCCCACAACGCACCCTCCTGCTCCCTAGGCTCCGCCCTCAACACATGGCCGGCGGACACAAGGCCAGAGACCTGATCCCAGCGAGGCCTCCGAGGGCTGCTGAGGGGGTGGGAGGGGCTAGAGCCACACCGCTCCCATCCTGGGATCCCGCTGAGTGGTCTCTGTACATGCTGGAAATGGGGGTGGGCTGCAGTTGGGGCAGAAAAGGACAGGGACCATCCTGGGGCACAGGGACAGAGCTGAGTTGCCAAGGGGAAGGTCCCTTGTTTCTTCCAGGTATGGGTCACAAGAGGAAGGAGCGGCAGGGGTGGGGGGCTCCTTTGGGCCTCACTGCTCTGTGGAAGGCCAATTAGCCCACTCGCTGTCCGTGCAGAGCTGCCCCAAGAAGGACGCCACTCTTCAGAGTGGTGGCCCATTCAAGGTGACTCTTCCCTATTTTTGGTTTGGGATAGTACCGCGCAGGCATGTCCTGGGTTGCGGAGGCCTTATTTCTTTTCACAACACTGGGGTGACACTCTGATCACCAAGAGTGCCTCTTGAGGTCACACATGGTAACCTGCCCCTGAAGGGTCATTGTTGTGACCTACAGTGACACCAAGCACATCCAGGAGTTGTGCGCAGGCCTCTCCCCAGGTCAGAAGGGAAGCAGCTGTGAGGAAGGAATTTGATGTTGTATTGCTAGAAGGTAACTAGCTACATGACAGGTGTCATGGGCACGCCTCCCAGCAAGCCCCGAGCTGCCCTCTGTCCCTACCTGTAGGGCTGTGGACGTTGCCTCCAGGAACTGCTCAGGACTGTCCTTCTCAGGCTGAAATTTGTTCAATTGCTCAATGACAGTTTCAATGCATTTTCCATAGTAGGCCATCTTCCCAGGGCAAGACCCTAAAAGCAAACCACTCCAGGTCACATGCTCCACAGCCTCAGCAGGTGGCAAAGGCAGCCACAGATCCCTTATCCACAGACGGCCATCCCTGGTGAGCCTGGGGCCTCTCACAGTGAGGCGTGTTAGAGGGAAAGAGGAACCCCAGCTGGGTGATCTCGGCCCACTTCCGGGACTGCGTCCCTGCAGGCCTCTGCTACTTGCAGGGCCCAGGCTGGCCTTGGGGGGCCCTCACCCACAGCCCCTGGAGGCTCTCAGGCACCCTATGTGGCCCCAAGGCCTACAACTGTGCAAAGGTAGGGATAACCCCTGGGAGTGGGGGGAGCTCTGAGCATCTCTCAGCCCAGGTGGGGTTCAGTGACTGTCTAGGCAGCAGGCCTTGCCCAGAGTGGTGGGTAACCTAATCCCAAAAGGCTGGAGCAAAAAGAATCCTCGGGTCACCAGAGCCAACACCCCCATTTTAAAGACGAAGGACCCAACACCTAGAGAGAATGCACAGTTGGTAAGTAGCCAGACCTGGTATGGGCACTGAACATTCCAGAAACATACTACCTCCAGGAGACCGGTTTGCCCAGAGACCCTCTCTGGGAGACCTTGGAGAAGCTGTTTGGGGTGGGGCTGGGCCCCCAGGAACCAGTTCGAACAGGTAACCCCCAAATTGTCCTTGGAGGGGGGTGGACAGGCCCAGTAGGGGCTCCCTCCCCACCTGCCGCCCCCCTGCTGGTCTTCCCAGGCACCTTCTGTTGGCAGAGCCAGGCTGCTAGTGCCCTGGGGACCATTGAGGCACCTCTGTTTCACCCCCAACAACTTGGGATGGCTCTAGATAGCAGCCCCCAGCCGAGGCCCCCCAGGCGAGACAGGGCAGAAAAGCAAACTGTCACTAGGGTCCCCAGGGAGACAGCCTATCTCAGCCGATGTGGCCACTGGCTGAGTCCCTAGTGCTTTAAGGAGAGTGAGGACCAAATACCACTGGACGCCTCAGAGAACCTCTGACACGAAACACTGAAGCAAGCCAGCAAGAGGAGGAGCAGAGTTCAAGCCCAGATTCAAGCACACCCCCTCCCAAACACAAGCCATATTGGATCTGAGGAACGAGGAACCACGGCGGAAAACGGAGTTCTTGCAAATGAAAATATTTAAATACAAGGGGCAGAAGGTAAAGTTGAGAAAATCTCCCAGAGAGCAAAAAAAAAAAAAAAAAAAAGAAGTCCAGGGGCCCTGGAGGGCTCAGTCGGTTAAGCCTCTGCCTTTGGTTTTGGTCATGATCCTGGAGTCCTGGGATTGGGCCCCATGTTGGGCTCCCTGATCTGTAGGGAGTCTGCTTTTCCCTCTGTCTTTTCCCCACACTTGTGTGTTCTCTCGCTCTAATGAATAAACAAAATATTTTTTTAAAAAAGATTTTATTTATTTATTTGACAGACAGAGATCACAAGTAGGCAGAGAAGCAGGCAGAGGGGGAGGGGGAAGCAGGCCCCCTGCTGAGCAGAGAGCCTGATGTGGGGCTCCATCCCAGGACCCTAAGGTCATGACCTGAGCCGAAGGCAGAGGCTTAACCCACTGAGCCACCCAGGTGCCTAAATAAACAAAATCTTAAAAAAAAAAAAGATGAAGATGCAGAAAGTAGGAGAAAAGCACACAGAAAACCAGAGAACCTCTCCAAAAAGTCCAAGTGCCAATTAACAGGCACTCCAGAAAGAGAAGAGGGGAATCAGGAGAGAAGATGTTCCAGAAAGGAAGGATGGGTTGGTTTCCTGGTAGACGGGGCTCCCAAGTGCCTTTTATCACCGAGGGAGAGAGCAGGTGGCCTCAGAAGGGACAGGAGTTTGGAGTGGCCTCAGATTACCCAGCAGGGAATCCATCTCTGACCTGGACAGAAGGATGGCATGTGCAGACAGGCAAGGCCCCACACCCTTCCCGGTAGGGGCAGACAAGGGACCAGAAAGCAAGAGAATTTCTAGGAAGGTGACAGCAGGTGGCAGGCCAAGGACATCAGAACCCAGTACACGGGGCTCCAGCAGGAGCCCTGCACCTGGCACAGTTCTGAGTGGGTTTTACCGAGTGCTCAGGGAAAGAAGCTTCGACACTGCCCTGGTCAAGGTCAGGACAAGTCTGCATCCTCTCCCATCTGCTGGCTGCATCCCTGGGCCCCTGCACCACCCAGCCCTGCAGGCCTGATCTGGGGATGTCCCCTCAGGGGCTGCTCCTGGGCCCAGCCCTAGCTTTGCAGGGACTGAAGCCAGCAGGACCCTCTCTTGTATGTGACTAGGAAAGTCCTCTCGAAATAGGGAAATGCACTGAGACCAGCCAATGGTCCTACAGAAACCAGGGCAAACTGCTGAAGGTAACGGCCAAGACCTGTGGGGGACTCTGGTGTGACACAGCCCTGTTTCTACAACTGGTCTTGCCCCAAAGTGCACATGAATGATCAGTACCAAGGGAGCGAGGTCTGTGCATGACCTGAAGGAATCTCTGAGCCAAAGGTGGCACTGAGGGGCGTGTAGCCAGTTCCTTTTCTTGGTGTGGGGCCTGGACTTTAGGGAGGGGGTCTGCCCAGGACCCAGCTCTGAGGGACCCCTTCCTCGGGTCTGGCTTGCAGTGACAGGCCTCAGGGGCCATGAAGGAAACACTGACTCTGGTAAAGTCCTGGAAGAGATTTATTTCCACCATTTGCAATCTTTGCCCTAGCAAGATTGGGTTTTTCTCCGCCTAATGCAGCTGATGGACCCAGGAACACCTTATTTTATTAGGTAGGTTCTGTGCCCAGTGTGGGGGAAAGGCAGGAGGACCCAAGGCCCCTGGTAGATCAGACAGGGGCGGTGCTACCCTCTGAGGGGAGGGAGGTTTGGGGAGGAGTGGTCTCAGGTCAGGGGAGTCTCCTACCACTAACAGCCACCATGAACAAATCCCCCCAAGGTCTCAGCTCTTAGGGGACCCTTCCTGGCCTAGAATCCCAGACCCTGAGCCCTCTTCCTGCTTCCCCTGCTTTACCCCAGCTCTGTCCACCCAGGCTTCTCACTGGCTCCCACACCCCTGACATGTGTCTCCCGAAACTTGAACACTCTTTATCCTCTCCCTGGTGAGCTCCTAGGCATCCCAACAACACTGGGTGCAAACAGAGACCCTGTGGAGGCTGGCTTCCTCCTCCCCCAGCCTGTCCCTTCTCTGTGCCTTCTCTGAACTTGTCCGAACTTGTGTGACGCCCCCGTGAGCAGCTGGAGCAGGATCCTGTTTTCCTGCCTCTGAGTCCTGACCCTTGCTGGAGATGGTCCCCAGCCAGTGCCGCAGCCGTGTCTGCGGGGTAAACGACAGGGCACAAAAAGGTGCCAGAAGGTCCAGTACCGTAACTGGTACTCGTAGTTTTAATCAGAAAGATGGTTTTGACACCCAGAGATAGATCTCCCCAAAGATCATATTAGTGCTTTTTAAAACCTGTGCTCCCACAGATCCTATAGTTCAACAGAGTTCAGTTTTATTGTTTCATTTAAGTGGAGGATAACAGATATGACAAGATTTACTAAGCAAGTAGATGTGGATGAGAACAAACCCCTTGTGGAGTTGGGGATTGAGCCTCTCTGCCTGACTCGTGAGAACATCTCAGAGGGAGCCATTCCTGGGTGAAAGAGGCACCATGCCAACATAATAAAGGCAAATAACACTCACATATTCCAGAGCTCACAAGGAAATGAGTGCAACAAGTAAAAAGTCCGTCTTTATAGAAACAATGTTAAGGATGCAGTATCTTTTATCCCTTCTCCTGGCTGTCACTTGGGGGTTGCTGCCCCTGGATGGGATCTGGCCCTTGACTCTACCATCCTGCCTCTGCTCTGAACACAGTTCAGCCCGGAGGAACCAAGAACAGTCAGAAAAGGGCTCCCTCCTTCCAGCAGCTGATGTGGGCGGTCTGCATGCAGGGGAGCTGCTCCAGGGTGGATGATTTCCCTGCCCTCCCTCCTGTCCTGGAGCTGGAACATTCCAGAGAAAGCATGCTCCTAGGGGCCCTTTGGTCAGGACACAAGTCCACAAAGAGCAAGGGAACCACCCAAGCGGTCCCCCAAATCCAGAGCTGGCCTGGATAGAACAAACTGGAAGCTATGACAACATAAGCCAGGTGGTGGCTGCAGAAGGGAGTCTGTGGGGGGTTGTGGGGAGGAGAGAGGGGTCCCTGGCTCACTGTTAGGCCCAGGGCTCCTGGGCCAGGGGATCTGCACCCTCACCCCAGCAAGGAGCCGCTGCACCAAGAAGGTGGACATCAGGAAAAGAGACCTTGGAGTTTTGCGTTCTCACTGAAGTTGGCCTATGAGCTTAGGCAGTATGATCACATGTCTGGGTGGGAGACAGGTAGTAAAGTCATCTGATTCTGATACATGCTCTTAGCTCCTCAGCTTTGTTTTAATGGGGGCAAAACCGGAGGTGTGGGAAGTGGCATTTAATTCTCAAGATTTAACTCCCCTAATCAAGACTTGACTGTCTCATATTTAAGGAAACTTTAAAGGTGGGCTGGACCAAAGCTTCTCTTTTCTTAGCAAATCCTTTATAGAAAGAAATGAGACTACAGAAGGTTTAAATTCCATCAGACACAAACCAGTTCAACAATCTCAGCCACTAGAGTGCCTTCATTTCCATAGATACCAAATGTGCATTAATTCATATATATTCTTTCCCTGGCTTTTGAGCCTGAGTAAAATTCTCTGAAGGATTTTTGCCAAGTCATGCTGTGAAGGCTTGTGCTCTAAGTACAGACCCCCATGGCAGGTTTTGCTGGTTGCTTTTTAATCTCCAGTCCCCCTTTCCTCCTGAGTAACAAAGCACCAAGTTTTAGTTGGGTTTATTGCTGCCCAGCTGGAAGATGACATTCTCCCGCCTCTGTGGCAGCTAGGTATGCCATGAAGGTGTGAGATTTCGGGAAATTCTTTCTAAAAAGGCAGAGGCATACATGCTTTTTCTCTTTCCCATCCTGCTGCCTGGACTCAGAAGTGATGGCAGGAACTTGGGCAGCCATTCTGGACTGTGAGGAAAAGATGGCAGAGGAGGAAGAGAGAAGAACCAAGTCCCTGGTGGCTTTCTGTAGCTGCTATATCTTCCAGGATTGCCTCCCCACTAACCTCCTTTATGGAAACATGAATGATCTTATTTGGGCCACTATGATCTTGGGGGTTTTTGTTACATGTAGCTGAATCTAATCTTTAAAAATTTTTAAAAAGATGTTATTTATTTAAGAGAGAGAGAGTCAGAGGACATGAGCAGGGGAGGGGCAGAGGGGGAAGCAGTTTCCCCAAGAGCAGGGAGCCCGATGTGGGGCTCGATTCCAGGACTCTGGGATCATGATCCAAGCCAAAGGCAGCCACTTAACCTACTGAGCCGCCCGGGTGCCCCTAAAAAGTTTTAAAAGATTTTTTTATTTTAGGGAGAGAGAGAGAGAGAGAGGGAGAGAGAGAGAGAGCGAACATGAGCAAGGGGAGGAGCAGAGAGAGAGAAAGAAGCAGACTCCCTACTGAGCGGGATCCGGACACAGGGCTTTATTCCATAACCCATAAAATCATGACCTAAGCCAAAGCCGAGTCGATGCTTAACCAACTGAGCCACCCAGGCACCCCTAGCTTAATCTTAAGATTAAGAACCTAATCTTAACTGATATACTCACTTCCCTGAAGCCAGCCTTCCTCCCAAGCACAGTTTCAAACTGGGAGGCATAGGGGGGAAGTCTCTGCACAGCAGCAACAGCCCCAGCCTTGGAGTTGGCCAAGGACAGAACCATAGAGAGCAGGCACCCAAGTTTCTATCCCAAGTTCTCATGCTAGAAGCACTGGCTGGGGGAGGAGTGGGTCTTACAGGGGAAAGATGGAGAGTCCATTTGGGCATGTTGAGTTTAAGGGGACTTGTTAGACTTCCACCGGCAAAGAATAGGTAACGGGGTCTGCAGTCCCAGGGTGATGTTCAGGCTAGAGATAGAAGTTTTGGAAAGGTCAGGAGAAAATGGTTTTTTATCAGACTGTGTGACTGCAGAAAATCACCCAGGGAAGGAGTGAAGAGAAGAGAGTCCAAGGACTGAGTCCTGGAGCTCTTGTGTTAGGAGGCTGGGAAACAAAGGGGACCCCAGCCAAGAAGACTGAGAAGGAGCAACTACAGGAGGAGAGGCAGGGAGTGTGATCTGTTCCAGTCAAGCAAGGTGGCGTGTTCCGGAGGCAAGCACTCGGCCGGGCTGCAGGCTGCTGACAGTTCCAGGAAGAGATGGGCATCTGATCACTGGACTTAGCAATATCGGGGTCAACAATGACTTTGATGAAGAACTTTGGAGGAGGAGTTGGGTAAAAATCTGATCAGAATGAAAAATCAGACCTGGAGTCCACAAGAGTGGGCTCCAGAAAGAAGATGCAGAAGAACTGAAGATAAGAGGCAACCCAGGGTGGGTGGGTAGCGTGTTTGCTCCTTAGGGGAGCAGTGATTTGGTAGTAGCTGGAGGGAGTAGGGAAGATCATCCAGGCACTCAAAAATGAACATGGCCCACCACCAGCACACAAGGAAATCTCTGAGGCTGCCTGTGCCCAGTCTCATTGACTCTCATAGACTAAAGAGCTCAGGGACCCAGAGCCATCAGAGCATGTAGTCCTGGGACCACGGATAAATAACAGGAGTCTCAGAGAGTAAGTTCTCTACCAAGGGAGACATTCCTTCCATTTCCTGCACCCCAAATCTGCACATTTCAGAACACCGCGAGAGAGGTGCTGGGTGGGGTCAGTGGAAAGTGCGAAGCTGCTGAGGGACTGCTGTCCTTGATCTGGACCCTCTCCTAAAGCCAAGAGCATAGCAGCATCTTCTCCCTCAGTTTCTCCAGCTGTCAATGGGAATTTAAGTTTTTTGTATTCAACACGTTTGTTTTTAGCTCTTTGCTTGATACATAATAGGTTCTTAGATTTTGGTGATTGTCTTTATGGATCCAAATTAGGGCACGGTTGGGGGAACTAGTGAATATGGTAGAAAATCTTTATAAAAAGCACCGTTTATTGTAGCTATTAAAAAGAAAACAAAAGCACAGTTAACTTTAATCAAGAAGCTGGGAAGAAGCCCAGAAAGGTGGTCAGCGAAAGCAAGATGAGAAGCAAAAGGAGGATGAGCACCGCCTGCAGACCATGGGAAGCTGCTGGAGAGAGGCGCTGGTGCTGAGGGGACGCGCCTCGCCCTCCTCCCTATCGGCTCCCTACCTGCTTCTTTCCCACCTCCTACCTGCGGGCCGGCTTCGCGGGCGCTCCTGCCGCCCAACCTCCCGTCCCACTCCACCCGCAGCCACAGCAGATGCCAGGGCCAGCGGGTGCGGCGGGTCTCACAAATCCAGGCGGGTCCCCCACTTCACGCCTGCTCAGCCGGGACCTCCGTCACTAGCCGGGACAGGGGGTGTGCTCAAGGGCGCAGTTTGGACGTCGTCACCTAGCAACCGGCTTGCGCGCTCCGGCTCTCCCTGCGGAAAGACTACAAGCCCCAGAATGCACAGCGCCCCCTGCTCGGACAAGGGCGGTGCACCCAGGGCCCCGCCTCCCCGCAATGCCCATCGGGACTTGTAGTTTTTCGCCTTTCCCAGGAGCGCTGGGTCGCCCTCGGGGAGCGCGCCTCGGGCGGGGCGTGGCACGGCGCCGCGGGATTGGGCGGAAGGGCAGGGGGCTCGCGGCGCGTCGGCGCATGTGCGGCGCGCGGCGCGGTGGCCGGCGAGGCGCGGGGTGTCAGTGAGCCGCGAGGAGCGGGTGCCCTGGTGCCCGCGTCTGTCCGCCCGCGGGTTCGCCTGCTGCGCGGCTGCGGGTCCGCCCTGCGCGCCGCTAGCGGAGCATCTCCGACCGCGCACCTGCCCCGCGCACCTGTCCGCCACCCTCCGCCAGGCCCCGCGCCGGGCTCCGCTCGCGCCAGCCGCCCAGGCACCGCGCGGGCCCCGGCCCGGCCCTGCCCCCGCGTCCGCCCCGCGCCGCAGCCGGGCGGGGCGCAGCGCTGCGGAGGCGAGGGCCGCGGGGCCGGGTCCGCGCGGCACGGCGATGATGAACAGGTTCCGAAAGTGGCTGTACAAACCCAAGGTGAGCGCCCGCCCCTCCTCGCGTGACTGGCCCTCTCTCGCCTGCCGCGACACCCCCGACCTCCACGTCGCTACCCGCACACGCGGCCGCGGGACCCCTGCGGCGGGTCCCGCCTCTTCCACCCCTTCCCCGGCGGTCCTGGACTCTCCTGCCCTCGCGCGCGGACCTGGGCGCTCTTTCCGCTCTGCCGCTGCAGGGACGCGCCCAGCTCCCTGCTCATCCCTGTCCTGCGTGGCTCCCGGCTCGCATCCTGTGGTCCCCGGCCCGCAGCCCAAAGCGGACCCCTCTTACTTCTCCTGGGTCCCGGAGGGACCTTTTCATCCCTCTTCCCTGCACCGGAGGGCTCCCTTATTCTTCTGCCCGCCCCCGTTATCCTGGACCCAGAATGTGCCTCCCAGCCTCCCGTCGCACTCCGGAGGAGACCCTCTCCCCACTCCCCCAGGTTCGGAGGGGACCCCCCATTTTTCCTCTTCCCGGGTCCCGCTGCCCCGGACCTGCGTTTCCGAACTAGCGCTGATCCTCCCCTCGGCACTGTCCTTGGCCCGTGCCCACCCGCGTACTCTCAAACCCAGGACGGGTGCCTTCCTCGGCCGCGGGGTCGGGGTCCGGGCGGCGCGCCCCGCGCCTCGTTGGCTGCGCCAGTCGCACTGCGGGCGCTGCGTCCCCGCGCCGGCCCGGGCTCGTGTCCGCTGTGGCCGGCGCGGGACTGGGGGCGGGGGTGCGGGGCGCAGGGTCCCGGCCGCAAGCTGGGGGCCGGCACAGCGGGGCGGGCTGGAGCGCTGGGGTCCTGGCTGAGGGCGATACCGCTCGGGTGGGGTCACCCAACGACCCAGGGACATGGAGGCCGCAGTGGCATTGACCGATCCGAGGAACCCGCTGCTGCCCCCGCGCTGACCGCTTTTCTGGATCCGGCTTCCCCGCCCTCCCAGGCGTCGATGGTCTCTCAGGGTGGGGGTTTCTTTAAATCCGTGCTCTTTGGGTGCGCCCAGTCGGGGGAGGCAGCAGGTCTGTTTGAGAGACCGGCGCACCGGGTCCTAGGATGATCCCAGGGATCTGCGGGGTTTGTGCGTTCCGTGTTTGGGATCAGAGAGTTCTCCGGAGCGTTGGGTTGAGGGTTTAGGATGCCAGCGGTGCGCCTTGCTCCTCCTTGGCCTCACCCGAAGAGGAGCCGGGTTCTTCCCGGCCAGGGGCAGCCGCCCTCCCACTCCCAACCTCCTTGTCATGTGGCAGCTCCTTGTCCCTGCGACCCTGGTGCTCCCCGGGTCTGCGTGTGGTATGGGGCCGCCCTGATCTCTGCCGTTTCCCACAAGACCGTTCCTGGCTGCAGTTCCCCCCAGGCAAGTCTCCGTCCCCCTGCCATCCTGCTGTAGGGTACCTGGGGAGGTGGCAGGCTCTGCACAGGTTATCTGGACAAGGAATGGCTTTTTGCTTGTGTGACCTTTGTCCCCAGTTAAGGAAAAATCGAGTCTGCCTGCCGAAAGGTCATTTCTAGGGTGGTCCGCAGTGTTCTTTTTTCAGTGTGTATGCCAGCAAGGGCTGGCGGGGGAAATGTGCCATAGATCAAGTAAACTGGTATTTCCAGAAACACTCTGTCAGGAGTCCAGGGGCTCTGGGATGACTTTCCCAGCTATGGGTCTGCAGTGGCCTTGCTTCCAGGATCACGTAACTGTATCATATTGTTGGAAGGGGAGGAAAAGTAATTGTGGGTCATCTGTTTCATTAACAACTGCATACTTTCAGTGGCCCTGCCTGTTTCAGTTTAGGGAAAAGTCTTTAAAAGTGGAAAATGATACTGCCCTTGAGGTTGTGCCCGGGAATTGAGAATGGTGTCCCTAGTTTTCTCTCTTCCGCAAGCAGCTGCCCTTCCCAGGCAAGGTCCAGGGACTGGCCTGGGCAAGGGAGAGAGTCGTGATGGAGAATCCAGCTACAGGGGAAGGGAGGGGTCATGGTTCATTGGGTCCTCCTTGTCCTCTTGGGTCTTGTTTTCTGGTATTTGTCCCTGACCCTTGGACTCAAAGACACATCTGCAGTTGAGGTCTTTGCGTCTGGCTGTGGCATGCTGCCCTGCAGTTAGCTTGAGTTTGGGCTGTCTCTTATTTGAGATCTGTCTTTGGAGTCAAATGTCTTGATTGTTTGAAGGGGTAGAATATGTTAGGTCTCACTGCAGTAGCCTTTCATTTTTCAAGCAAAGCTCAGACTTTTGTCTTGGTTTCTGAATTGAATTTTGTTTCCCCTACCATTCTAATTTAACCCATTGGGCACAAGTGAGCACAGACTCAGTCCTGGGAAGATTCTGGGCTGGAGGAGCAGAAGTGTGAGCATTAGCTTTGGGGGGATGTGTCTGGGGGAGACTCTGGCCTGCAGTTAGGATTTTCCCCCCACTTTTGTATTTAGATAGATGCACATTCAAACTGCATTCTTGATGTAATCCCTGCTTTGGTTTAAAACCGAACACTGAGCTGCTTGTTCATTACAATGCAGTGGAAAATATTCTGAAGCCAAAAATACTCATTGTTCTTGCAGTTGAAAAAAGCACTTAGAAATGCTTTAAAACATTCTGACACTTGAAATTTTTGATATCTGAATCATTAATAAGTACCTCAGTTGACTAAAAAAAAAACCTGATGTACAATACACTTGTTTAACATTAAAACGACATTACCCATCTCTCATTTTTTCCATTTCTTTTCTTTCTTTTTTTTAATATTTATTTATTTATTTATTTATTTGACAGACAGAGATCACAGGTAGGCAGAGAGGCAGCCAGAGAGAGGGGAAGGGAAGCAGGTTCCCTGCCAAGCAGAGAGCCCGATGCGGGGCTCGATCCCAGGACCCTGGGATCACAACCTGAGCCGAAAGCAGAGGCTTTAACCCACTGAGCCACCCAGGCACCCCTCCATTTTATTTATTTATTTATTTATTTATTTACTTATTTAAAGATTTTATTTATTTATTTGACAGATAGAGATCACAAGTAGGCAGAAAGGCAGGCAGAGAGAGAGAGAGGAGGAAGCAGGCTCCCTGCCGAGCAGAGAGCCCGATATGGGGCTCTATCCCAGGACCCTGGGATCATGACCTGAGCCGAAGGCAGAGGCTTTAACCCACTGAGCCACCCAGGCGCCCCTCCATTTATTTTCTTTAAGGCAGTTTCTTTAAGGCAGATTTGTCCATATTACCTGGATGGTGAAAGCTGCGTGCTTATCAGCCTCCCCTTCATGATGTTGGTGATGTGCTTTTTTTGGCTTTTGTTTAGGGAAAGTCCTTCCAAGAAAGAGTTAACTAAATTAAAAAAAAATTTTTTTTTGGAAGATTTTATTTATTTAGTTGAGAGAGAGCGCGAGAGCATGAGCATAAGCAGGGGGAGTGTCAGGCAGAGGGAGAGGGAGAAGCAGAAGCCCCAGAGCCCATTACTGGACTCAATCTCAGGACCCTGGGATCATGACCTGAGCCAAAGGCAGATACTTAATCGACTGAGCCACCCAGAAACCCCAGTAATTAACTTTAAAAAGGTGAAACCTTTTGGAATAGTTGGTGTCTTCATTTGAAGGAAAAATATTATGCTTGTGTTTCTTGCTGGGTTATAAGTTTCTTTGTTGATGCCCAGTTACTGTGCTAAGGGGTGAGATGGTGACATGTCAGAAGGGGTCCCACACTAGGCCCAGCCAGGACGTCTTGGCCGCTGTCAAAGAGCATCCTTACGATGGCACAGGTTAAATTTGTGCTTTCCATCTTTGAGGAAGAACTGATGGGTGGGTAGGCGATGCTGTCCAGCTGGATGGGGGTTGCCCTGCTCAGCCATGCGCCCCAGGGTGAGCTCTCTCATCTCACTCCCAAACCACTTCTGGGTGAGGTTCATTAACTTTCCTTGGAAATACAGTGCTTTAGTGGGCGATGTTTATCTGGAAACTTTCAGTATTCAGGATTCTTAAAGAGAAGCCTGAGTAATGGGATGGGTATGTGTGCTTTCTGGAAGGACTCTATGAGCTCTGTGAAGTCTGCCTGGGTATACCCAGATGGGTCTGCCCAGATGGGGTGTTTCCAGCACTTCCTGCTGGTGGCTGTTGGCTTACCCCAGCCTCAGTGGGCTAGGGGCTCCAGAGCTCTGTCCGAGGTCCCTCCTGGTTTCCAGAGTCCCTGGCCACCTAGTCCCGGCCGTGGAGCTGGCCCTCTGTTCTTTGACCACCTGGCAGAGGGGGCTGGATCGTGGGACGGCAGTGGCAGGTAGGAGCCCTTGGGGTAGTAAACCTGCATGTTACCTAGACCGGTCATCCTCTCAAGACTCCTCTGCAGAGGCCTGGAGAAACACAACC